ACCCAGAGGTCCCCTGTCAAGTCCTGCCGGGTGGGGGACAGAGCCTGAGGTCCCCTGTCAAGTCCCACGGGGATAGAGGTGGGCAAAGCCTCAGGTCCCTGCTGATTGCCCCTTAAGAATCCTTATGGAGTGGACTGATGATTCTCAGGGAAAAGAGGAGTGGGGTGTGTGAGAAGATACAAAATATAAACTGTGCACCTATGGATGAGGACAATGCGGGGTGGGGAAAGGGCAGAGGCTGGGGTAGGAACCTGGTGGAGGGGGAAATAAATGAGGAACTTTTGTAATAATATGAACAATAAATGTTTATTAAAAAATAAAATAAAATAAAATAAAGGTGGCTATATAATGTATCATTCTACCAATGAAACCTTAAAATGAGACACTGTAAGGGCTGAAAAAATAGAATATTGGGGACAAACTATGGTTATGGTAAATATTAATCTTAACCCAATTGCCTTGTGTTGTTTAAAAAAAGGACATTCTGACCTGGCTGGGAGTTGTAAGGCCTAGGATCTGAGAGTCAATCTTGGACCAGGGAGTCAACCTTGCATTTGGGTCCATTCTCACTCAACAATTGCCTATTTTAAAAAGGTTACCAACCATGTTGCCCAAACAATGGAGTCCCATTAAAAAAAAAAAAAGAAAGAAAGAAAAAAGAAAAAAAAGAAAAGAAAAGAAAAGAATCCTTATGGGAACATGGCCTCAGCTGTGTGTGCAGTCATTTTGTGAACCGGTGATGGTCACTTAGCATAGTCCCTCTTCATTGGATGGGATTGGCGGCTTTACCTCCAAGTGAGCAGGGTCTCCCACTCCTCTGGAGGTCATGTGGTTTGGGATTGTCCACCAGCCATGCCTCAAGGAAGAGATTATGATAGAGATCTCTGTATTCTGAACTTTTTCTAAGTTTTCTCTGTGCCTCGCACCCCAATCACGAATGCTTATGGGAATAAAGATCTTATCAGCAGGTTTGCAGTGCTGATGGGAATAAAGATCTTATCAGGAGGCTTGTAGAGTTTTATCGGGACCATCAGCAGCCCTCCCAGCGGATCACGAGGGCAGGTCATAGCGTATATATCGGCATCGCTGGCCCATTGGCGCACACTCCAAACCTGAGCCTTCCGGCGGACGCTGTGAAGGGAATAACGCAGGATGTGGTGGATCGGGCTCCTCAGCCTGGTGGCCCTCTCCGAGTGCCTGGTCACGTGAGTTTGGGGACAGCTCTCTCCCGGCCTCTCTCTCACTGTCCCCTTATCCTTCCTTCCACCGCCCAGGGGTGCACAAGGGAAAGTCATCATTCCCTAAAGTCTGTGTCTCCCTGCATTTTTTTATTTTTATTTTTAATTCTCACCCTAGGATATTTTCCCATTGATTTTTAGGGAGAGAGGAAGGGAAGGGGAGAGACAGAGAGGAACATCGATGTGAGAGAGACACATCTATTGGTGGCCTCCTGCATGAGCACTCACCAGGGCCCTGGCCGGGGAGGAGCCTGCAACCAAGATATGCGACTTTGGGCAGACTCAAACCCGGGACCTTTCAGTCCACAGGTGTATCTACTGAGCAACACAGGTCAGCGCCACATCTCCATGCATTGATGAGTAGCTAGCCACCTGCACTGTGGGACAGGGGTCCAGGGACAGGTCTGGGGCTGCACAACGCCAGGCTGCCCCTGCGTGGATGGGGTCCCCAGGAGGATTCCTCATGGCACCACCAGAAGGGTCCAGAGGGTCCCTGGGACCCAGTTTTGCCTTAATGAGCAGGTGGCCACAGCCACGTCACGAACGCCCTGCCTTTCAGGTTCCTCCTGTAAACCTGGTGATCCCCACCCCGCTCCCTCCAGGGCTTCTTGGAGAGGGAGTCAGTCACATGACAATGGAGACAGCACTGGCTCAGGGTCAAGGTCCCTCAGTCAGGGGCCTTCGGTCCATCCTCTCCCTCAAAGCCCCAGACACCCTGTGGGAGGCCTGTCCTCACCTCACTTCTTTACGATGGGGAAAGGGAGGCTGGGCACGGGCCTGTGGCTTCCCCGGGGCTGCAACAGCCCCTGCGCTCAGGCCTGAGCCATTGTCCGGCCTTTGCCTGCGTTAGTGGGGGCTGCCCCTCATAAGATGGCTGGGAACATCCTCGGGGAAGACACCGTGCAGCTCTAGCGCCAGGCATGGCGGCCACACTGAACCGTGAGGTGGGGGCTGCTATCTTATCTGTGTCTTTCCCGGGGTAGCATCCCTCTGACGAAGATCGAGTCCACGCGGGAGAGCCTGTGGGAGAAGGACCTGCTGAGAGACAATCTCCAGGGGCACCCCCACAGCCACGCCATCAATTTCGTGCGCAAGAAGGGCATCACTAAGCACCCCCTGAGGAACCACCAGGACGTGAGTGTGCGGGGCCCAGCCCACAGACTTCCGTAGCTGCAGGCTCAGCACTGGGGTTCACCCAGGGCTGAGAGCCTGGAGGGGTTGGGGCTCCTGCAGGCAGCAAAGCAGGGGACCAGGGGTCCCTCCCCGGGGAGAAGGCACTCCCCTTGGTTCTTGGTCTGTGGTGACCGAGTCCAGCCATGGTCAGGCGGCAGGCACACATCCCTGTGGACCAGGTGCTGGTTGGGCAGATTCTGTCCTTCTGAACAAGGCACCGCTGCCTCCACGGGGACTCCAGTTTGACACCCAGGCAGAGGACGCCCCGAGAACCACCCCAGCAGAGTCCCTGAGCCCCTGCAGTGTGGAGGCTATAACACACCAGCAGGGTGCTATGGCTGCCGAGAACAGAGGGTCTGGCCTGGTCTGCAAAAACATAATGACCAAACCAAAGGGCCGCCTCTGATAGTGGCATCACCGGCGCTGAGTTGGGAGACAGAGGCCTGAGTGGCCTGGGAGGGCTTCCTGGATGAGGGAGCAGGCCAGCTGGGCCTTGAAAGTTGGAGGATTTGCAGAGCTGCAGGGGAACGGCTGTGCGGTGGGCTGGTGGGAAAGCTATTCCAGGAGACAGAGACGGCCTGATCCAGGCAGGCCTCTCGGGGATCAGGACTGACTGGGCAGCCCGGCCTGGTCTAACCGCCCTCTCCTGCCCGGCAGCTGTACTACGTTGGCAACATCAGCATTGGAACGCCCCCTCAGGAGTTCAGGGTCATGTTTGACACGGGCTCATCTGACTTATGGGTGCCCTCCATCTACTGCCTCAGTCCCCTCTGTGGTGAGTACCTGAGCCCCTCATGGCCCTTGTCCTCACCCCTGTCCCGGCCCCCAGCCTGGGCTCTGGCCACTGAAGAACAATTTCTGTGCAGCTGCAGGGTCACACAGAACCTTTGACCCTCCGGCGTCCTCCACCTTTCGGAACACGACCCAGCGCTTTGACATTAAGTACGGGTCCGGCAACGTCAGCGGGGTGCTGGGCTACGACGACGTGCGGGTGAGTGGGAGCGGGGCTGCGGCAGGGCGGGGCCTGGACCTCTGCTCACTGCTCAGGGCACCAGATGCAGGGTCAGCTGGACGCACCGTCTCTCCCAGAGTTCCCAGCGGCCGGCCATCTGCCTTGGGGAGACAGTGCTCTGAGGACAAGCCCCCGAGTGGCCAGACCAGCGAGCGGTCATGGCAGGAGGGGCGGGCATTGGCATCTCTTGCCCGTGATGAGCTCAAGGCTGGTTTTGCTGGTAGCAGGGAGAGGTGAGGGCAAACCCGTTTTTATTTTTTAAATATATATTTTTATTAATTTCTGAGAGGAAGGGAGAGGGAGTGAGAGACAGACATATCAATGATATGCGAGATTCACTGATCGGCTGCCTGCTGCAAGACCCCCTGAGGATTGAGCCCACAAGCCTGGCATGTGCCCTTGACTGGAATGGAACCCTGACCTCCTGGTTCATAGGTGGATGCTCAGCCACTGAGCCACACCAGCCGGGAGGAAAACCCATGTTTATATTCCCAGCTTGTGCCAGGCACTGTGCTGGGCATGTCCGTGGTAATAATGAGTCTAATCCCACAACAAGCCCACGGGGTAGGCGATCCTGCTCCCTGCACGCAGAGGAGGGACCCGAGGGACCCGAGGGACAGGGGGTGGGCCTGCCCTAGGCCCAGACCTGGAGCAGCACAGCTGGGGTGCGAGTCAGGGCTCAGCTGCTGTGGGGGATTTTCCGGGAGAGGGCAGATCGCATCTGGGCGTCCGGGGTTGCCGAGCGCTCCAGACACCAGGGCAGGGGAAGCAGGGCCACGGGTGCAGGACGGCCCTGAGTAAAAGGTCTTACTTTGGGGGCCTTTGAGAGTCTGAAAAAACTGGGCTTCCTGCCCGAAGTGCCTGACACACACACATGCACACACACTCAAACACATATAAGGTATACGCACACATGTACACCCATTCACATATACATTGACACAAACATGTGCACACACACGTGCGCACACATTCACACACACAGGCGCACACACACACACACACACACACACACATTTCCCAGGAAGCCTTTTTTTTTCATTGATCGCAGAGAGGAAGGGAGAGACATCCATGATGAGAAAGAATCATTGATTGGCTGCCTCCTGCACACCCCCTACTGGGATCCAGCCACAACCCATAACACAGGAACCTTCAGTCCACAGGGTGATGCTCTAGCCACTGAGCACAGCGGTAAGGACCTCTTCACTCGGTTTCTGCCACCAAATCCCAGGAACGCCCAAAACAATATGCTCGTGTCTGCTCATTGGGGCCTTAGGGGGGGGTTGCTTGGCCTGCTGCCAGTCACCTCTCTGTGCAGGGGGATGAGGGTGTTTTAGTGTCAGGGGTGTTACTAGGAGAAGGGTGGGCGAAGGTTGGACTCCTCAGCAATGTATGGTGCATGCTGCTTTGGCACCTCCAGTGCAGCCGCACCTCAGCTCATTCCTGGGGTGCTGGTGGCATCACCTCCTGTAGTAGCCCCTCTGGCCCAGCCCCAGCTCTGATTTCCAAACCTTCACATAAGAACACTCTCCCCGCCACAGATCGGAAACCTTGTGTGCAAATCCCAGGCATTTGGCATGATCTGGTCTGTATCCGTGACGGCCTTGGGAATATTGCCCTTTGACGGCATCCTGGGCCTGGCTTACCCCTCCCTCGCCATCAGAGGCACCACCCCGGTCTTCGACGGCATGTGGAACAATCGCCTCGTATCTCAGAACCAATTTGCTTTCTACCTGAGCAGGTAAGCCTGGGTGGCCAAGCTCCTACCCCAAATGCCTTCAGGTGCCTCTGAAATGGTATACAACCTGGCACTGTGTTTCCTGAGGGCAGTCTAATCCAGGGATCAGCAAATAGTGGCCCTGACATCAAGTGGCCCGCCATCTGATTTTATGAATAAAGTTTTATTGAAACACAGCCCTGCTTCTTCAGTCACATCCTGGCTGCGGCTGCTTCTGCGCTACTATGGCAGCATCCAGCACTTGCAATCTAGCATTTTTACTTTATTTTACTTTTTGATAATCCTCAGCCAACGATTTTTCTCCATTGATTTTTGGAAAGAGTGGGAGGGAGGAGGAGAGACACACAGAGAGAAACATTGATGCAAGGAAGACATTTTGATTGGTTGCTTCTTACCTGCCCCCCAGCTAGGACCAGGGATCCAATATAGGACCCTTCAATCCCCAGGCCGATGCTCTATTCACTGAGCCAAAACAGCTAGGGCATAATCTAGCATTTTTTAAATTTATATTTTATTGATTTTTCACAGAGAGGAAGAGAGAGGGATAGAGAGTTAGAAACATCGATGAGAGAGAATCATCGATCAGCTGCTTCTTGCACAACCCCTACTGGGATGCGCCCGCAACCAAGGTACATGCCCTTGACCGGAATCGAACCCGGGACCTTTCAGTCCCCAGGCCGACGCTCTATCCACTGAGCCAAACCGGTCCTGGCATAATCTAGCATTTTTTAAAGTTTGACCACCCCTGTTCTCCTAGTCCCTCCTTGGATGAACAGGGAAACTGAGGAATGAGGCTCAGAGAGGAGCTTTGCACAGAACTGCCCAGCCACACACTGGTAGCAGCAGGACTCAAGCTCGGCTGTGGGCCATCCTCTCTGGCGGGTGGTCAGGCCCTCAGCAGGTCTCCAGTCACAGGGCGGCACTGAAAAAGCTACCCTCCTGATGGGCTGAGGGTCTGGAGCCGTTGGAGGGAGCAGCACAGGCCAAAGGGGACCCGGGAGGCAGACTGTGTGTATGACACAGAGTGTGGGTGAGGCTGTGGGCTCCGTGGGGGCCTGAGGTCCAGGCTCTGCAGCATGTGCTGAGCCTCTGGGTGTTAGTACCGAATCAAGGAGGTGAGTCGTTTAACAAATATCCATGGAGCACCTACTATGTGCTGGGTACTGCTCTGTGCACGTGACATGGACAGGTGAGAGGGAGAAAAGGCAGACAAGAAGCGAGTAAATAGATAAGAGGGAAAGGTAACACATGCCAAGTGGTGGCTGCTTCTGGGAAAGCGGTAAAACGTGGTGACAGAACCACAGAGATGAGAGCGTGGTTTCAGACGGGCAGTGCGAGGACCTCTCTGAACGAGGCCAGGCCATGGGGGAGCGGAGGCCCAGGCCCAGCAGAGGACCAGCAGGGCAGTGTGGCTGCGGGGCGGGCAGGGAGGGAGGGAGGGGCAGGCCGAGGTGGGCATGGAGTGTGAGGGGCAGGAAGGGGCAGGGGCGCCCAGGGCTTTGTTTTAGGTGGGAGAGGAGGCCTCTGGCAGGGGCCTAGGCAAGTAGAACACATGGTCTCCCGTATGTCTCTGAAAGCTCCCCCGGCACTGGCTGGACAATGAAGGACCAGAGAGGAGGCAGGGAGGCCAGGAGAGAGAGAGAGCAGGAGCTCAGACCAGGGAGGCTGGGCAAGGGGGGAGCCCTTGAGGAGTCAGGACACAGGGGGAAGGGAAAGGCCATGGGATGTGCTGATCGATTCGACGCAGCCAGAGCAGGAGGCTGGCAGGGTGTTTCCTTCCCCTCAGCCACAGTTCCCCTGAGCTCGGGACCGGTGACTGCATTGCAGGAAGGGGTGCCAAGTGAAAATGTGGGGCTTTGTTGAAAAACTATGAGAGATTTCAGGATGGGGCAGCGGCCATGGGGGCCTAGTGAGCTTGTGTGCCGCTGGTGGACTGTTTTCAGGCCCGTGAGCCAGCCTGGGGGAGCCTGAGCGCCCACTCGGGACCCTCCACACATCAGCCTCCATGCGCCTTGAGCTCTGGGGCTGCAGGGGGGACTGGCCGGCTTCAGAGACGTGGGTGGCCAAAGCCCAGCAGAATCTCAAATTCAAACCTTGGCTTTGCTCCTCAGAGGCCACAGGACTGACCTTGGGCTGTGCTCAGCCCTGCTGCCCAGTTCCCATCGGAGCAGTGGGGGTCCCAGCAGTGCCTGCTCTGTGGGGCCCTGCAGTGTAGATGGGTGTTGTTGGTCAGTGCACCCCTTGGTCACTGAACTGGAGAAATGCCACCCACTGTCCTCCCCTCACGTGAGCCTCTTCCCCCCAGCAAAAAGGAGAATGGCAGCGTGGTGATGTTCGGTGGCGTGGACCCCACTTATTACCAGGGCAGGCTCCAGTGGGTGCCGGTGAGCACGCAGGGCCACTGGAACATCAATATGAACAGGTAAGCCTCCCCACTCCCCGCTGAGAGCTATGCCAGGGACAGCCACACCACCACAGTCACACGCACATGCAGACACACAGACTCAGACAGACACAGAGACACACACAGGCACATTCACCAACAAGGGTTCATAACGGCCCTGACCAGAGACAGGATCGACCAACGTCACGGAACACCAGGAGGAGGGACAGGCATGGGGCCCAGCCCCCAGGTCGGGGCTGGGGTAGCGTGGGAGGGCTGCACCCCCCAGACAAGCGCAGTGAGAAAGGGTCAAGGAGAATTCCATTGTCGGAACAGGCACATCCCAGGTCACCGGACCAGAGGGGTTCCAACACTCGGGGTGCCACGTATAGGCAGCAGAGCCAGCAAAGTGGGAGGCTGCCACACCTACAAGACCCCCCACCCCACCGCCCTGGGCTGGAGACACGAGGAAGCTGTCCTGGGGTCTGAAAGCAAATTACATAGAGGGACCCCCACGCACCCCATCTGGGTGCCAAGGGGCAGGGTTATGACCGAGGACATCAGGAAGCAAGGACTCGGGTGGCTGAGAATCAGGGGGGATCACTGAGGGGGTGCATGTAAGAATCAGAAGCTTAAACTGTGACTCGGGCCCACATCCCGCGCCCTGGGCCGGCTCAGGCATCGCCTGGCCAGGGGTCTGGGGAGAGGGGGCGAGGCACGAGGGAACAACACTCCCTCCCACCTCTGAGCACCTGCGTGCCGGGAAACTCCATCTTTACCGTGTGGCCTTCATAACTGGTTGGACAGCAGGAGGTGTGTCCAGGTGACCTCATTCCTTCATGCCCCCTGTCATTCCCTCGGCAAATACCATGGAGCATGTGCTGTGTGATGGGTACGGGCGCTGGAGGGGCAGAGGGCACAGCATGCTCTCCTGAGCAGGAGGGCAGACACTCATGAGTGAGCCCATCGCAGCAATTGGGGTTCCCACCACCATGCACACTAGAACCAGGAAGGTTCTGCCCGTCTCCTCTGGGGGAGGAGAGGGCCCTGATCTAAACTGGGGGGACAGTTCCCTGAAAAAGTAGTGATTAATCTGCACCCTGAAGGTCAGGAGAGATCAGCCAGACAAAGGGGCAGGGGAGGGTCTAGGAAGGGTGACAGCACATGCAAAGGCCCTGGGGCACAAAGAGCACAATGCCTTCCAGACCTGAGAGGAGGCCCAGGAAGGCCAGTGTGGCCAGACACAGGGACACAGAGGCTGGCGGGAGCTGCAGACTGTTCTCAGGCGGCAGGGAGGGGCTGAGGTGAGAGAGGCCATGAGTGACCCTGGCGCCTCCTCTGTCCCTCAGCATCACCATAAACCGCAAGGTCGTGGCCTGTCCCAGCGGCTGCCAGGCCATTATGGATACCGGGACCTCTATGCTGGTTGGCCCAACCAACGACTTCGTCAGCATTATGAAAAGCATCAATGCTCAGAAGAAGAGATCGAGCTGGGTGAGAAAAACACCCAGGGTCACCCTGGACTCCCCACACACAGAAGGACCCCCTTGGCCAACCTCCCTCTCCCTCTCTCTCTGACAGTACGTCAATTGCGCTGCCATCCCGAGCCTGCCTGACATTATCTTCACCATCAATGGCCTCCGGTACTCAGTGCCACCCAGCGCCTACATCAGGAGGGTAAGGGGCCCTTCCTGGGAGCTGCTCTCAGATCTGGGACTGGAGGGACCCTTGGGGCCGTGGCTCAGAGAGGCCCCCTGGCGGCCTGGCTGTGCCATTGCAGATGCTGCCCAGCAGCCCTGGCTGGGAGGGCACCTCCCACAGCACAGCCTCTTGATAGAAGGGGGTGTGGGCACCCATCACCCTGGGAGAACTCTGAGCAGCATCCTGTGCTGGCTCGGGGCCAGGCTCCAGGAGAGGGCGCGCTAATGGCCTGGCCCTCACAGAGCGTCAGTTCAACCAGGGCATCGGACCGATGGACAGGGAACGTAGGCGGAATCCGGAGACAGGCAAAGAGTAGGGACAGGGGGGCTGGCTGGGGACATTCACCATGTCCCCCCTTAATCGGGAACTGTATTCCCTTCCATCTCCAACTGTCCTGACTTGGGTAATAGATCATATGGTCACCCTAGTTCTAGAGTGCAAATGCTCCCTGCAGGCCCCAATTCCCTGTCTGTGAAATGGGGACCAAGCCCCCTTTGTGGGTGGTGAGAAGCTGACATGAACAAAGGTATGCAGTAACCGGGCAGTGCCTGGCACATAGTAGAGGCTCAAGAAGTGCAGGTTCCCCAAGGTGTGCCGAGGAGGTTGGGGCAGCCCACAGAGGGAGCAACTGAAAATCTCTCAGCCCAAACCCTGCAGGCATCCCGGGAGCCAGGCCAGGGGCACCCTGTAAGACCGTGTGCTGAGGCTGAAGACACAGGGAGACCCGGGAAGCCTCCCCACCCAGCCGGCACTGCCAAGGAGGGGGCTGGGTCTGGGAAGGCTGCCCAGGCGCTGGGCTCGGTCTTGGAGAATGAGCGGGGTGAAGGGGGGGGCAGGCGGGGATTCTCTCAGAGCAAACACCTGAGCGGAGGGCCCAGGAAAGTGGGATAAAGCTGCCGCCCAGGCCCAACAGTGGGGGCAAGAACGGCTGAGGGCTGTGCTTCCTCCCCTGCAGGAACGGAGAGGCGTCTGCTACCCCAACTTTTTGGGCTCAGTCAGAAACAACTATTGGACCCTGGGGGACGTCTTCATGCGGCTCTATGTCACCGTCTTCGATCGGGCCAACAACAGGATAGGCTTGGCTCCTGCGAGGGCATAGATGTGGGCGCCCCTCCTGGAGGCCACCGGCCTGCCCCAAGGATTCACGCACTTCCTGCGTCCCCTGGACAGCTGCGTCTGGGGCTTTGCCAAGCCCTCTTCTCAGTGGAAAAGGAAGGACTGCGTTTATGCCCAGCGGTGTGGCTCAGTGATTGAGCCTCATCCCAAGCACTCACAGGTCACTGGCTCCATTCCAGGGCAGGGCACATGCCCTGGGCTCCATCCACAGAGGGAGAATGCAATAGTCGGTCCAGTGATGCTTCTCTCTCATCAATATTTCTCTCTCTCCCTTTCTCTCCCTCTAAAAAAATCATAAACACACTGATGTTTAAAAAAAACATTGATTTTTAATAAACGGTCTCATTTCCAATGGCGCTCATACAAATGGTGCCTCTGCTTGGGTCTGGGAAGTGCATCACAGGCAGGCAGGGCTCGGGAATCTCCTCTGGACCAGCAGGGAGGGGACCTGACTCCAACTAGCATAATTAGAAAGGACCAGAATCGGGAAGCCAGGTTCCTGAATGCAGAACCAGAGCAGGTCCGCACAGCGTGGTGGCTGCACCCAAGAAATCAAAACCCACCGGCCCACTCTCTCTCCTCCTTCTGGCCTCTGCACTTACGACTCCTTTGATTCCTCTCCCACCAGCCTTCCCCTGGCAGCCTGCTCCAGGCCAATGGCTCTGCCACTCCCAGCCCAGCCTTTCACATCCTAAAGACTTGGAAATGAGCAGAGCATAAGGGAGGGGTCTGATTGGTTCACCTCAGGTCATGTGTCCAGCCCTGGACCAATCATGTGGAAGGGCATGGGGCAATATGATTGGCTCCACTTGCACACATGGTCCCTGCTGGATGGTGATTGACAGTTTCCTCTAGAACCACTGGCTGGAGCTGGGCAGAGTGGTCCCCAGAAGTGCAGACATGCTGTAGGACTCAGGGGTCACCAGCCTTTGGGCATCAGGGACCACCAGTTGGCCAGGACAGGAGGTTGGCGACAGCTGCTGTGAGTGACATAAGAATTTGTGGCTGCCCTCCAATGCCGCCACGCCTCACAGCCGTGTTTTAGAAGCAGGTTGAAAGCTATGAGAGCATTCTATTAGGACATTAGGAGAAAAGGGCGGAACCCCAAACAGCAGGGATACAGGTTCCGGAAGGGCCTGGAAGACAGGGCTGCCCAGGGCATGCCAGCACAGCCCAGGGCTCTCTGGTCCGGGTTCAAGTCCCAGCTCTGACCTGTCTGTACCAGGCGCATAGGAGGGCCTCAGTAAGTACAGTCCTGTGACCTTAGGTCAGCTCACTCTGGACGTCGGTTTTCTATTCTGTAATTCTGCGGTAAGAATAGTTCCTCCCTCATTAATCATCAGGAAAACGCAAATGCAAATGACAATGAGCTATCCCTCCACACCTGGGAGTGGCCACAGCCAAGACACACATGCCAGCAAGGGTCAGTGAGACGTTGAGCCCGTGCACGGTTACTCTGAGTGTCACGTGGTGCGGCCACTGTAGGAGACGATCTGGCGGTGCCTCCGAGAGTTAAATGTCCAAGTTTTATAAGACCCCAGGCAACCCCACTTCTGGATTTTTCTCCCAAAGAATTAAAATCAGGATGTGGAGAGAGCCGCACTGCATACCCTTACAGCGCTGTTCACAACAGCCAAGACGTGGAAGCAGACAAGCGCCCATCGCCCGGTGCCGGGATGAGCAATCCGAGGTACAGCCGTGCGATGGAATGTTACTCAGTCACAACGAGAAGAAAACCCTGCCAGTTGCACAGCCTGAGGCCTGGGGCTTACGCTGAGGAGGTAAGCCAGTCCCAGAAGGAGGGGTCCTGTGTGCGCCCACACATCTGAGAGGCCTTCCATCCTCAGGCTCACAGAAGCAGAGCGACGCCTGCTGGTTGTCAGGGGCGAGGGGAAGGGGCAGTGGGGAGTTGCTATTCAACAGGAATATTTCAGTAACGCGGGTTATGCAGGGTGAGTATGTCTAGGGCTCTGTTATGTACCCCTGGGCGTATAGTTAGCAATACTCCATTGTGCACTTGAAATTTAGTTGAGTCCTGCCCAGTGAGGTACAGTGGTTAGAATGTTGTCCTGCACATTGATGGGCCACAGGTTGAAGAGTCAACCAATTGATGGTTCTCTCACATCAATGGTTCTGACTCTCCCTCTCTCTACATCCCTTACTTCCTCTCTCTCTCAAAAAAAAAAAGTAAAAATATTCTCTAGTGAGAATAAGAAAATTTATGAGAGTAGATCTCATGTTAAACAATCTGACTGCAATAAAAAACAATCTACACTAAAAAAAGAAAAATAAGCACATTGACTGTGCATCCATGATGACTTACAGGCTATCCTGAGTGAGTATGCAAATTAACCTAACATATATGGTGGGGTAATTTGCATATGTAGGAAGGCAGCAGTAGGCAGAGCAGGACAAAAGCTATAAAGGGAATGGCAGTGGACAGAGGGAGATAAAGGATTGAGGACTTGCAGGCTCCCGGGCAGCCAGGAGGAAGCCAGGGGAAGGAAGGCCTATTCTTGCTCAAATCTCCATGCCGCGGGCCTCTGGTTAATCAAATGTGAATCTTCTCTTGTGGTTGGGGCAAGGGCAGGGTTGGAAATGAAGGTTGGCTATTACTGTGTGTGGCATTGCTTTTTGGGGTCTCAAACATGTTCTAAAATTAAATCACGGATGGACATACAGCTCCATGAATACCCTAAATCAGACCAGACTACATGCCTGAAATGGTGGCTTCTATGAGGTGGGAAACTAATCTCAATCAGGCTGTACCAGTACTGCACCCAAAGCACGACAGGAAAAACCAGTCCCACCTTCTGGTCTGTGGTGAAGATTCCGTGGGATAACCTACAGAAAACCTTTGGGCAGTGTCTGTCCCGCAGCAGCATGAACTACTGCTAACGGCACAAAAAGACCAACGTACATGTGACAACAGTCATATCCAGTGGAAGCACATGGGTGATTGCTCCTCTCATCTTATGCTTTCATTAGGATGTTTTCAGTGATAGCTTTTAAGAGCAGAAAAATGCCAAGCATTATTCTCTAAAGGACAGAGGGTCTGCCCAGCCCGAGTGGCTCAGGGGTTGAGCACCGACCTAGGAACCAGGAGGTCCTGGGGACATGCGTGGGTTGTGACCTTGGCACCAGTGGGTTGCACACAGGAGGCAGCAGATCAGTGATTCTCTCTCATTATTGATGTTTCTCTCTCTCCCTCTCCCTTCCTCTCTGAAATCAATTTATAAACAACAAAAAGTGTTCACTAAATGAATTAACAGTTTTCATGGACGAGACCCCCTTATCGGTGACCCCGGCATCTCCCAACACTCTTCCGGCTCTCTCCTGGGCATCACCTACTGGCCCCCAGCCCCAAGCAGCAGCGTGGTCCAGAGCAGAAAATCTGTTGGGCAGACCTGGGTTCACCTCCCAGGCACTCACTGGACTTAACTCCCCAGCTTCGGTTTGCTCATCTGAAAATTGGGGAAATTCTCACCCCATAGGTCTCCCATTCAAAGCACTTGGGAACATGCATTCAGTGTCCCTGGGCTCCTCAAATGAGTCAAGGTCTGTGCCCAGGGACCAGCGTGTCCAGGGCACACGTCACCGAGGAGGGGCAGTGCAGAAGGACAGCTGAATATGAAGAAGGAGCCAGCCATGCAGAGCGCTGGGAGAAGAACGTTCCAGGTGGGAACAGCAACTGCAAAGGCCCACGGTAACCAAGCCCAGTAAATTGCTACTTGTCCACTTCTCCGTCCATGTTGAAAGCCTTGGGCTTGTAGGCCACAGGCACCCTCACGGTGACCTCATCAGACATTGGCCAGTGAGTTACCAGCAATGAGTCACCCCTCCCAGAAGAGCGGCCTCCGTGCTGTGTGCAGCCTGAGGGAGAGCAGGGCTGTCAACAGCAGGAATGTCTCCTGGGCCCGGGGCGCAGAGAAGCCTGAGGCCCAGCCCCACTGCGCCCGCAGCACAGGGGACAGCTCACTACTGACTGACCTCCTGCTCTGGCTCCTGGCGAAAGCCGGCACCCACAGGACCAGGATGCTGTGCCCTCTCCCCGGGTGGTCCTGGGCCCAGGAGTGGCCGTTTCAGGGCAGAACCTGGTTCCTCTCTTCCTTCCTAAAGGGTGGTCACGGGCATCAGCAGGAGCGCCTGACCCTGAGGCTGGACCTCAACCTGCTGTTAGCGGGGACCCAGGAGATGCACTTTCTTGTTCATATGCCCGGCCCACTCGCTCTCTCTCTTTCTCTCTCTGTTTCTCCTCCCTGTCTGAAATTATTTATTTATTTATTTATTTATTTATTTATTTATTATTTCAGAGAGGGAGAGACAGAAACATCAATCATGAGAGAGAATTATTGATTGGCTGCATCTTACATGTTCCCGGTTTGGGGACTGACCCTTAACCTCCTGGTTCATAGGTTGGTGCTCAGCCTGTCTCCAGGTCAGGAGAATGGACTTGCTCCACACTGAGTGTCAGTGACGGCAGACACCCGGTGTCCGGGCCTTGACCACCTGGTGCTGACACCCTGGAGCTTGATGGGGTGGCAGACCAGGTGGCCTGTACCTGCCAACATGAGCAGGAGAGCCCTGGGCCTGCCCGTGGACAGCTGCCACGTGATTCCTTGTGCTGGACATGGTTGTCATACGAAGTGGCTACCAACTGGAGGGGGCTCTTTAATAGAAACTCGCGCTGCCCAGGAGTGGTGTCCAGTGGTTGAGCATCAGCTTTCGGACCGGGAGGTCAAGGTCCAATTCCTGGTAAGGGCACATGCCCGGGGCGTGCAGAAGCAGCCAGTTGATGACTCTCTCTCATCACTGATGTCTCTCTCTCTCTCTCTCTTTCCCTCACCCTTCCTGTCTCAAATCAATAGAAATATTGATGAAAAACAAAACCAAACACCTTTCCCGTTAAAGTCCCCGCGGCTCACCACGTGGTGTGGAGGCTGCTACCAGACCTGTGCCTTCCCCTGTGGTAAAGGCGAGGCA